TTCTGAACAATCGGGGTTTCCAGCGCAAGTGGTTTTAACTTTCGCGCTGCAGCTAGGACAGGCTAGGGGCCCGGGGGGTGGCATAGGAAATCGATCTAAAGGGAATCTGATCTAAAAGAATAAGATCTACGTGGACTTTGATCTAAAAAAATTTTAGATCAAACTCCAATTTTTTCTGGATCAGATTCCTGAACCGGCTAAGGGGCAAATTCTTTCTGTCTTCGTCAACTTCGAAGTTATAAAAATGTCTGACAACATTTTGTAAATCCAGAAACTAACAGTATTTTGTGCTTAATGATTTCACTGGATCATAATTAATCATATGATATTTATTGGGATACCCTGTATTTATTTGATAAAAAAAACTATTATTTTTTAATCAAAATTTTGAGAACTAAATCAAATAAATAGACGAATCTGGAAAAAGTATTTTTGAATGTTACAACTGGGACTCGTGGATTTCTGACAAGTAAAAGCACAGCATGCAGGTTCTTTCTGAGAAATCATCTTCATTGGAGTATTTCGCAGACCCCAGGGCCATCTTTTTATAGGAGACCGCAAGCTTTTCATTGGAGACAGAAAATATGTCGAGTCCTCGATCGGGCGGGTTTGTGGAGTTATCCGATGAAAAGGTTGAGGTCTCCGATGAAAATTTTGGGTCTCCAATAAAACACTTGGGGTTTCTGTAAAAAGCTAGGGTGTCCAATAAAAAGCTTGGGGTCTTCTATGAAAATTTTGGGTCTCCAATAAAAAGCTTGGGGACTTCTATGAAAAGCTTTGGTCTCCGATTTGGTGGCCTCCGATGAAATGTCCATATGGGGGACTCCAATGATGATAGTTTCTTCTCAAAATCGTTCCTTTCAGGAATTTTTACAAATTTAGGTGAAATTTGTTATCTCATGAATTGCCAATCTGGGGCACAATGGCGTTTAGATTTCTTTAGGTGGTCATATAAATGGTCAAAAATCACATCAAGCTAATTTCAGGGGTCAATATAATTCCCAAAAAAGCTGATTTTCTCGATCCCAAAATAATTTTTTGCCCCCAATTTTGAAAAAAATGCCCCCAGTTAAAATTTTTTTTTTCAAATTCCACT